TTCTCTGAGCTACTCTAGTCTTAGTCACGTTTCCCCATACGAGACCATGGAGTACTAACTCTCTTGTCTTATCTGTTTTTCTTCCTTTCCTATCGGAAAGGAACAGAGTTAGAAGGTTCCCTTTTGAAAATAACTACACGCACGGCACTGCAACGGCACGCGGCCATAGGCCACCGACCCCAAAATAAAATCGCAAAAAGACCAGGAAGACGATAATAGTATGGGGTAAACAAACCCATACCATCAAAAATAGTAGTTGGTTTGATCCAATGGCATCAAACCCAAAGAGGGTTTCAAATTGTGACTTGTTGAATATATTACAGACTCTCGTTCTCTTTTCTTTAGAGTCTATTGTAGTAGAAGAGAATATTGATGAAGTGAAGTGTGGCGATTTGGTTCATACTTAGTGGCTATAGCTACACCTGGAACAAAAAGTATTTCGTAATTAGACTGATATAGGAACCTTTAATTTAACATTAACAATACAGTTCACGGTTTTCTCTTCATAAAGAGAAAAATCATTTCACCGTAGTCAATCGACAGGCGTACCTAATTAGATGTCTTAAAAGATAGACGGACAACTCAAATTAGCAAATCATCAAATAGTTCATACTAAAACCGGGGTCGGGTCATAGAAATCAAATTGCGCCAAAGAACAAAACAATATAAACACAACGTGGTTCTTTTAACGTCATCTGTCACTGTCAATCAGCGATCAATGTTGTAATTAAAAAAACTTGATTCTTTATAATTAAACAGTTAATAAGCAGTTGTCGTCGATTTCTACTTAGGTATGTCTTATCGTAATGTAAAATTTCTCACTTTCTAAGTTGTAGGTACGTATTTCTAAGGTACTTTGATTGTATTAACACACTTTATGTACCAGCCAGGCCAGACACATGGGCCCCGGCCGAGCTACCACATTCACAGTCCCTCATTTGAGACTTGCAGTCCCAGCGTTCCACCAACTGCAAAGAGAATTAGGAAAAGGACAGGATAACAGAAAACGGCAATGTTATATCTGGAGAATTAGTTTTTTTTTTCCGTGCCAAAATCCCCTCGTATACCACCTATCGGTGGCATGTCGAACTCGAACCGACTAAAAAACCGCAAGCCGTCTCGGGTACTAATAGCCGGGGAACCAGGTATACCCTAGAAAGGAAGTCTCTGGTGTGGAGAATTAGCCTAAATGTTTAACTTCTATGTTATTACTTAATTATATACGGCTTGTCTTCCTATGAAGAATATTTTAATAAAACAAACTTGGCTTTTTCTAGTTATTATACAAAAAACTTTACGAGTTATGAATTTTTGAAATAGTTTTTTTAACTGGTGTAAACTAGAACATTTTAAGACACGATAAAATAGTTTTCTGCCTTCGGTATACAGTAATTACTGACTACAACTCTTTATCTCCTTATCAGAGATACGTTTTTATGTGCCGCTATACAAGAGTTTTCCTTCGTGCGTAAGCCAGCTGCATGATTCAGGAACAGTTCCATTTAGGCGACAATTGTTTGTGAACAATATCGTAAACCGTAATGGTTTGTAAGCACCGCGATACGTATCTCCGGCGAGACGCTGAAGTAGTCCAACTGTCGTCACGTGGTGTCCACCCGCCACCTCTCCGTCGCCACCCCTTACCCCTCCCACCCGCGTCACTCCGCCCTTTCCTTTGATCTCTCTGTTCTTAATTACTGACTTTTAAAAAATCCGCTCGGCAAGTTTTACGGCAGTTATAAAGGTTCGCTCCCTGTGCCGCTGCCCTAAGCCCACTTCCCCCCTCAGCTCCCGCATACCCTGCCAGCGCCCGATCGATCTTAATGAGATGGTTTCAATACAAACATACCACCCGGAGTTACTAGGTACGAGCACCTGGAATAACATGCCTTCGAAAAACACAAAACTGTTTTGTACACAAATGTGTACAGTGAACATTTTTAAAGTTAACCTGTCCCTCGCCGCGTACAATTTGGGCGAATTTAAAATTTGCTCAGTACATGTTTCCCGTGACAATACTTTAGCATTTTAAATTGTATTCACTACGAGTGAATGTTTAGAATATTTTATTTTCGATTTCAATTGAAAGACATTTTATTTAATTTTAGAACTAAACAATTTATGTAAATCTTCGTTCCGCGAATTAGTAACGCTCTCACGACTTTAATATTATGGTTTGGAGTTTAATTCTTTTAGTTCTCCAATTTGTTTAATTTCATGCTGAATATTTGAGCGTTGTAGTCTAGTAGGTATTTACTGAATGCTCTGATACTTGCCGAGAGAAAATGAGGTATAAGATAAGACACTTAATCGGATTAAAGTCAACTAAACCAGTAAACTGAATGAGTCAGTTCGAAGCCGCAGGCGGAGCACAATGTAAATTAAGTACACTTTGAGTCGGATTAGTTAGTTATACTGTCTGTTATGTTCGTGCATAGTTTCTTTTGTATTATATACCTATACTTTATACTACATTATGTTTTCTGATTAACAAAGCAATTACAAAATATAATATTATCGTTAAATTAATAAATAAAATAATGTAGCTGATACACATTTGTTGTAAAGAATTTTGAAACAATAAACTTTTAGACAATAAACTCAATTAGAGGTGTATGTTAACAATTCCACGAAACATAGTCGCCCACCTTACATCGATGCGATTGATTTATTAATCAACAAGGTGGGCCCTCCCGCGAGTGGGGGGTTACTCCCTCTCCCAGTACTTTTAATAAATGTCGAAATATCTGTGTATAAACAACGTAACACAGTAACAGATACTGTTCACAAACATATAATAGACAATAATGTGCACAGTAGCAATAACGGGTTTTGATGGCTGCTTATAACGTACAATTACCGGCGCTCAGTAAACTGGAGCTGTTAGCGACATTACAATACAGTGTTACCACTGAGTTATGGTATAATTTCCTTGAAGTGGAACGAAGGCTAGTCGCAAGAAACAGACAAGCGCATTACCGTGGCCTGGATATGCATATAAAAACACTCAATCTTCGGCGTTACTGCCGACAAAGAAACCCTATAACAATGTTTTGAAGTGTTCAATATTATCGAATGGCGTCGCAGTCGAGTAACCGATATTTTATAAATTGTAATAGGGAATATGCACGTGACACCAAAATGGACAAAATATTTTTATTTGTAATTTTTATTGCTAAAAAAAGATACCCATACAATTATTTTTGAAATTTATTATAATTTAATAGTGTAATTTAATCATCAAAAATTGGCTTTTTTAAGATTCCCTCGCAAATTTCTAAAACGCAACGCTATTGGTTGAATAATACGTGACGTCAACCTACACTGTCAAGAGTTTCAACAAGTTGTGTGTATTTGTAATATTTGGTTTCTGGTAATTATTTGTTTCATTTTAAGTTAATAACTAATACGTTTTCAGTGTTAAATTATTAAATTCCCGTGTAGAAAGACTCAACACAATGACTGAATATACTTTGTCAGGTGCAGTTTTGATATGATTTGGGCACAAAGGCACGGCACAATATTTATAATAAGTTTTTATTGGCTTTTCCATGGTAATAAGTTAATTTTTATCACTCACTTTTTTAACTTTCACAAACTTTGTGAATTTCACTCCGTTGTTGACATCGAATTCGTCTGAAAGTGTAATTTGACATCACAAAAAAAGCGCGCCAAAATGAACGTGTTCAAATTGCCCCAAAATGATAGTGATTTTAATAATTTTCTTTTTGCTTAACGGTTTATATTTCGGATGTGTTATATTTATTTTTGGTAATGTAATAACTAGTAGAATCGTTTAAAAATATAAAAAAAATACATGCATATTCCCTATTTAAAACGAAGCTGTTATCGCGGCGAGATCGCGCCCACTGGACCGCACTGATGGGCTCATGCCATTAACATCAGAATGCTCACATCTAATGTGAATCGAATCTTGATAGAACAGATTAAATATCGTCTACGAACAATTAAAAGGGGTGAGTTTTTTTAACAATTGGAAAGATGTCCCGTGTTTAATTACGGAGCTGTGAGAAGTTTTACATGTTATAAAGTAATGTATTGAAATTGTTTTTATTACCTAGGTATTTGTTATGTACACCTGTTAGGGTTGTCCGATAGAATAGAACTAAGGTTCTTCGTACCATGACGTAGAGATAAGATCAGCGGAGCTAGTAACGAATCTTGCAAAATAATAGTTATTTGTTTGTATTATAAATTTTAACTATGCTAAATCTTACGCTCGGTGAGGATAGTTTACTTAAAAATGGAAAATTTTCTATTTACGGAATAATTGTACAGTTATTTTATTAAAGTTTTTATAGTTTATTGTATCGCCATTGTAATTGTATTGTGTATACTTATTAAATATTTTCTTCTTCGTCTGTTTTACGTTATTTTTGCCAAATTTGTCTCCGTTTTTTTAATAGATCTGTGTCACTACGCCTGTGTGTGTGTGCTCAATATGGTGTAGGTCTATGGTCGGAGGTTCTATCGTTACTTTCTTTCTTTTTAAATTTCTGCTCAACGAGTGTATGTCCAGCAGTGGACTGCGATAGGCTGATAATGATGATGATGAGGGTATGTAATAAATGTCAGCCTACCACGTCCAACAATTAATATTTTGATAATGAAAAGTTGAGCCCTGCAATATGAGAAGCAAAACTAAAACTTAACAATTTGTAAGAATTGTATGCTCTCTCTTGTAACAGTTAACTGAGCACTTTTAGTAACGTCGGTTTACTGTCTCACATTTTATCGCTCTGGGTACATTTCGAGATATAGTCAAATAAAAACGTTGATTCATTCTCCTCCAATACCGATGTTATATTTCACAAGGGACATTAAAACACAATTGGAACTGAGCAAAATCATAAAAGTAGGTACTTTATATCCGCTATATACTTTAAACTACAAAGCATCAAATAAAAAACATTCAATTTTATAGATCCTTTTTTGTTATTAAAAAGTCCAAATCCCTCGCGAATAACCCTTAATTTTTATTATAAAGCTGAACAGGCGATAATATTAAATTTTATGTGTCGAGCGCCGAGGGGGGACTGTGAGAGAACGAGGCGAATTATCGTCAGCACAATACATGAAGGTACTTGTTCGTGCACGTGGTAGCGAGCAGCGCCGCTCGCTCCGCTCGGGGCCCGCAGCGCGCTCAGCACGCCGCGCCGGCTATAATCGAACGTAATTAAAATCCTCGTCGAGATCACTACTGGCATTGTGCTGCGAACGTTTCATGTGAAACGGGCTTTTATCGAAAATGCTCCATGAAAAAAATAACAAAGCTCTGTGCTATGAAATGTAAAGAACGAGGGGGTCGGCGTGGTGGGGGGTTAGTCCGGGGGCAGACGATCGCAAACATTAATGGCAGTCTATGTATCGATTCATTTCGTTTTTCTATTAAGCGCCGTCAGTTGCAGCTGACGCGGCGGCTCGTGGCCCCGGCACAAACGTACACACTGTGCTTTGATCCTGCACTCTCCGGCAAGGCACAAAGTAATGCCATCGAACACACGCTACCGCACTCTCTCGCCCTGTATAAAATCCCTCCTTTGTTCATTATAACCATAGGTACCTACTTGGTGTATCTACTAATTTAAGCACTCCATGTGTTAATCTTGTTTCATTAAACGCTGTTCCTTTTGTAATAAATACAGGGTTTGGTAAGCCTAACAATAGCGGTATATACCTAATTACAAACCTAAGAATTCACATCTACCGTCAATTATAAAAAACGCTATCAATTATTCTGTTCATACCTTTACCGCCAACATTCAATTTGTCAGCCCAATAAAGTGAAATCTTTTGGCAATTAATAATGTGACCGTGAGTTTATCGACTCGCTCTCCCCGCATGCCATAAATTAATAGGCTTTTCGGAATTCTGATATCCATAAATGTCGCTTAATCGCTAAAATACCTTAGTGTCGCGACACACCTTACATAAAATTACAATAAACACAAAAATCAATGTAATTATGTGGCAACGCTCTTACCCACATTTATATATATGTATTACGTAAAAGATTAGCGAGTGTCAGACGTCACTACTACACCTAATACTATCTGGAATTCGATTCAGGATCCCCTCAAATCAAACTCCATTCAAACTTCCTCGTACTTTTGATTAACCAATTGACAGAATCGTTATATAACTTTCCAAGTGTATACATATACGAAGTGTAGGTACATACATACATATACATACATATGTGTGTTTTTGCAATCCCATGTTTTAACACCCATAGTATAAGCGATGCTTGGTTTAGATCTAGATAGCGATGTTCAAAATAGGTCCCAAAGGTAGGTAGATCCAATAGGTAGAATTACTTTGTCCCTTTGGGAATGTAGTTGCGGAACACGAAACAGATTTACAGTAACATAAATGCTCCATTATAAGTAATACAGTTCAACGTAATCGTAGCTTGAAATTACGCATAATTCCTGTAAAGGTTTTTGACACTATTTTCGTGAGTAATTCGATTCGTTGAACTGTAATGGTGAACGAACTCCAGTTCAACTCCCACCACTAGTTTCCTCTTACAATTGGCATTGTTGATGCTTCGTCGATTTATTTTTTAAGTTCAAAGGACGCACTTGCCTTGTCAAAGGGACGATTGTATCCCCTATACATTGTTATCCCTTCGGGGCGACCCTCGACGAACACAACCGAAGCATCGATGTTTGATCGATGCGTTATTATCGACGAGATATCGAGCGTAAACTTAATCGAATTGATTCGTTAATGTTTAAGGTATGATTGGACACGGTCGAAATAATTAAACGCGGCCCTTGGGATATCGACATTTATAAGAAACCTTTCCTGCTTTACTAATCTTTTCATAAAACAATAAAAGAAAAAACAGGTGGTGTAAAAAACTATACTCCTTGTCTAAAACTGTTTCGTCATCATGTAGACGTCTAAGGGTTTTTTCAGTTATAGTGTACGATGAACATCGTCCAATCTCGCCATCCATTAAATTATTGTACTGCTAGACGCTCGACTCTAAGGGCTGCAGCGTTATGTTACATACTCCATTTAATACAAAAATAATTTCTGAAAATGTATAGTTCCAGAGATAAGTGCGGTTAAACAGATAAACAAAGAAATAAAAATGAACCTTAGCTTTATCGACTGCTAATGTACCTACATCTTAATGTGTAGAGATCGGGGAAGTTTATCTTACAAACTAAAATATCTTTCTTTATGTAATAAAAGTTGTGGAATCAGACATGAGATGTAAGGAATAGCTCAAACGCAACTGAGTTCAACCAAACAAGTCGAGCGGATGAAAAATATTGTTGTACGTACGCCCCCATCCCTACTTGGCCATGTTACTACTGCAACAACTTTGTAAATCATTCTTACGACTTAAATATACGTTTATAAATACTTTATATTACATTTGTTTAATGTTATTTTGTACAATGTTTTTCTGTAAAGTAAGTAAATACTCTGTCAGTATGCAACGAAATATACGAGTATAATTGCAAACAGTAGCACGATCAACGATCAAATTTCAACGTCAATTTGCACCACACAACACAATCATTTAGTTAATTGTGGGGGGTGTGAAGCCTTGTGTGACGCATGCAATTACAAAATTTTTAACAATATTACTCTTAGAAGAATAATTCGTTTAAGTATTTTAATATAACGGCGACATTAATAGTAGGGGTTAAAATAAGGGATTAAAAATGCGTGTTTAAAAATTTTGACGAGCTCAAATACATTCTGTTTGCAACTTATCTCCAAAAGAAGGGACTGAGTGCGCAGTTAAATTGCACTCAGCTGAATCTGTAGTGAGTTATATGGTTTGTATTATAATTTTCTTGGTATATTATTAACGTAGATACATGTACAAACATAAGTTAAAAAAGTATGACTTTTACCATTTGAATGTTTAGTTCGTTTAATTCGCTTAAATGTTTTTTTTTCAACATCTACATTACGTAACGATACACAAATTTATTCGCAATTAATTTGAAAAATATAAAAGAAAACGACAGTGAAATTAAGACTATTCCGATCTTTCGGTAGATTCTATAGAAATGGAAAAAACAGTTTAATTTATTTATATTATGTTATTTATTATAATGACTGTTCCTCAATTTTGGCTTTTCAAATTCAAATTTCGTATCCAATGTCATGCCTTCTCTGTCAGTGACACACAGGAAATGGACATATCTAACGCCCTCACACTTCCTTTAAGACATACATAATATTATTTATATGGTACAATTAACCAAAAGTGGATTTTGTTCTAATATTTATTCTCGTTTTCTAGTAAAAACCCAAAATTATACTATTACCTGTACCGTTAAACACACACACACGCACACGCACGCACACACACAAACACACACACACACACAAGAACTTCAATGATGGTTTGAAAAGCTACCTCTGAAAATATTTCCTTATAATAATATCTCTTTAATATACCTTTCCGAAGATGTCTAGGACCATTCTCATGCATGTTATGTATTGATGCACACCCCTAGATTTTGTGGTGTTTATTGGACACTTGCAAACTTTGCCAACCTAAGAGTGTACCCGGCAATGTGGGGGAGGGGTTAGATTTTCCAGTAACATCACTGGAAATGAACCAAAATAATTGGTTAACACCGGTTTCTGTGAGTAAAACTGCCACATAAAATGCCCAAGAGGAACTAGCTGGTCATCGACGACCTATCTTTGGTCTAATCGGTCTCGTAATATGATGCTAGTAGGCAATTACTGTAGCCAACCTAATCTTAGTAAATTATCTACTGTAATATAAGTCTATTAAGCCTAAGAGATATTGCTTCTTTTATTGTGTAAGATGGAGTTTACGATTTGAAAAATAAGATGGGCGGGTAATAATTTAATTTATTGTTTTAATGCCCCAATGCCTTATTGTGGTTTAAAGTATGGGCATTCCAGCGCCGTGAGTACCTACGTATACGTGTAGATTATGGTGACCGTGTCCTAGTGGTATCTTCAATCGTAGAATAGATACCGAGCTTCTGCAGTCACAGAAATAATAATAATATTAACTTAACAAATCTCAGTCTGCCGTGTACTATGGTAACCAGACTATTGATAAACATACTTATATAATTCTAAACACATAGATAGATATTACACCGAGACACAGAAGAAATTAACGTGCTCATCGCACAAGTATTTGTCATGGGTTGGAATCGAACCCACGCCCACGACCTCTAGCTTAGCAATCAGGGTCACTAACCACTAGATCAAACAGGCCAGACAGTATTCGCATTTTCTTACATCGAATATTCAACACATAGTGGAATAATAGACTAAGAGAAGCTTATTATTAACTAAAAACATTCTATATTACAATGTTGTATGTAACGCAATATGAAACATACCTTGTTTTTATCTTCCGGCACCAAATGCGATTTTACATACGCAGGGGTTGGCATCAAAAACCGTAAATGTCCATAAGCTAAGAGCAACACACAGTTAGCGCAGTTTTGATACTTCTTTGTGAACAATTTTACTGCCGCAACTTTTAGAATATGTTTTAATATAATAAAAAAATACAGGTAGCGTTATATTTGCCTTCAACATTTTACTATTATTTTACATAAATGCGAAAGTTTGGATAGATATTTGTTATCACTGGCGCAAGAACGCATGTGGAGAAAAGGCACAGAAATAGATTGTCTTGGACATAGGCTACTTGTTATTCCCATAAAATTGAATTACAAAAGGGATATCGACAAGAAAATCATTTTAATAAACAAAATAAACGTTAAAACTGAAAAAAAACGTTTTCAAATTCAAGTTTCCAATCACAGTGACGCGGTCGATAGAAAATAAGAACGAGCCGTCTACAATTACAAAATGTCACTTGATACAATGAGATTAAAACTTTATAAAGGGTTGGCAGGTTCACAATATGTCAGATGTGTTGTTATATTTGTTTTGGGGATTAAAACGGGCAAAACCGGCCGAGGGACATCAAGCCTAGGATAAATTGAAAGTTCGCTGGTTTACACAAATAAACCGGTGACAGACGCTCCACCGACTCTCACGACTCTACTTTAATTTATCACGAAATGTTGACGCCGAATACGGCTCGACAATGCGCCGCCCAGCTGCTCTCACCACGAACAAACTATCAAGAACATTCTGTCTCACTATACCTTGCCTCTCTTGTACACCCTATAAAATTATTTCAATGTGTAACGGGTAATGTACTTAAAAG